CCTCAGCAAGGCCTGAGGGGACAAGATTCAGAGATTCTCAAAAAAGCAGCAGCAGTACCCCATCAGGCACATGATGGGAAACTTTACATTTTGCCTTTGAAAACAGGGACTTCTTGGCTGTTGTGGTACACTCAATTATTCAGTTTCCTTCACATTTTCACTGTGTACAGTACGGCTACTACAGAGTTTGCAAGACAAATTTCAAGATGGGGGATTGTTTTACTCATTTATTCAGCAATTCTTTGCAGTTTTATACTGCCAGCTTGTGTTCTTATTAGGTGCATTTTACAAGAATCTGTGTTTAATGCTATCACTGAGCACGAATCAAGTGAGGTCACCTAGCCCAGCCTCAGGACCTGGGGGCAGAATCTGATCTCTCATTGCTTAGTGGTGCTCGTCTAACCTGTTCTTAACAGTCTCCAGCGATAGGTTCAACACCATCCCTAAGCAATCTATCTTAATTGACCTGTCCTCAGGGCCCTCTTAGATAATTTTTCTAAAACTGTTCAAAATAAAAATTACCCCTGTTGAACAAAACAAATCTGAAAGTGCAAATACACAAAACTGGAATCTGAGGAATCGAACAAATAACCCGAAAACAAAGGAGGTGGAAAGGGGAAGAAAAAGAATGTTGCAAACAATAGAATAAAAATATGCAGTCTGAGATTAGCAGCTCTTTCGGCTCTCAGCCTTTAACTGTAGGCAGCTCTGCTGAGCCTTTTCATACCAGGCTGCTTTCAGAAATCTGTGGGACAGGCATGGAAAGGCGTGGAAGCAAGTCCATGTTTGGATAGCAGGGGGGGAAAAATCCACCATTCCAGTTGCAACAGAGGAGGCATAACTGGGAGCGGTGAGAGTTAATTCCAATTTAAAAAAAGGTATTTTTCAGTCTCAGAGAGCTAAAGCAAAATCAGTCTGGGGCACGTCCACACAGCAGTGACTTGGAGATAAGAAGTCACACTCAGGCTATCCTGAGGCAATCAGTTTTCTTTCAATACTGCAGGTGAAAATGCTCCAGCTAATTGGAAGTGCAGTCTAAGAAAACACAGCTCTTAGCATAAATGCAGATATGCCATAAGCCGAGGCTGGAAAAACGTGCCAGAAGACAGAGAGAACAATTTCAAATGAGCCTTCTTTCTAACAATAACAGTTGTTTGCTTGAGATTCCTATCATTTCTCACTGCATTTGAATGTCCTTTTAGTAGTCCGTGATTATCTACCTTGCAAGCTGTCTGCTTCTAAATGGGTCTACCTCTGACACTTCAGTTTGCCTCCATGTCCTTCTGCTCCTCAACCTTGATCAGTCCTCTGTGCCAGAAATGCCCAGTTTGATCCCAAGAGCAATCCTCAGAGAATATCTTGAGGTTGTTAAGTACTTCTTGAGTTATCCTGAGACCGAGTGATGATGAAGATAAGAGTTAGCACTGAACACTGAAGAATTGTAAGATGAGAAATGTAACAAATGATCTTTTTATTCATTTTTCAGTGTCCATGATTTAAAAAAAAATAATTCTCCAGCTTAATTTTAAAATACTGTCCTTTCCTTTTGGAAAATTTCAGTACTAGACTAGTAATGAAAGTTATAGTTCCACAATTAGTGATGTATTTTGGGCTACTGGCAAAACCTTGAGGGCTTACCAGAGAAGTGGGTGTAAAAATATACCAGGGAAACAGGCATTGATATTATGGGCCAAAAAGGTCACATTTTCTCCCTGCTGCAGCATTGCATAACCAGAAAATGATTGGAATGATTGAGAAGTCATTGTTGTAATGAAGTCATGATAAAATGGTTTCCGTAAAATTCCATTTTATTTCATAGTGAACATGATACAAATAGATATATTTTTGCAAGCCTTGCCTGGTGTACTGGGGGTTAACACCGCTGGTACCCTGTTACTATCTCCCTGTTTGTGCTGCTACTAAATAGAGTTGCTTGCTGATGGGATGCCAAGTTTTGCACTTGAAAAGGAGCCTTGCTAAGTTTTGTACTGAGAAAAATAGTCTTGTACTGATTGAATACTGTACTTTCAAGTTGGAAAAAAAAGCACCTAGAAAATACTTGCTATGCCACAACACTCTGAAATGTACTTTATAACAAAACTATCAAAAGTATTGAATTTTTCCAGTTCACAAAAGTCTCAGTAAACACATTTCTTTGACAAAGTTTTCTTTTCAAAGTCTGTCATGCCAGAGGTTGATGGGGGAGGGGATCTGCAAAAAGGAAATTTGTGCTTCTGTGGTGGAAGGAAAACCATGAAAGAGGAAGGGTGAACTGAGGTTACTTGGCTGGATGTCTTGTAACAAATGTCTCCTTTGCGTCACCTTTATAGTAAAAATTACAGCAGAAGATTGGTGGTTATCTTGGGCACAAAAGGGAAAAGGAAATAAATAAATTTGAAAAATACTCCACGATTTGGAAAATATTGTGGAAAAATATTCTGTGAATTCTAGTGGACAAGCAAAAAAATACAAGCTACTTCTCAAGAAAATAGTATTTGTCAAGAGGTACATACCACATTCCTTCACTGTGCTGCTGCCTGACTGGGTATAGGACTCAGTCCCAAAAGCCATGAAGGCAGAGTTTGCTGGTCCATTACATGGGTTCTTAAATCTACTTTAAGGAGCACAGAAGTTATTGCTTCTGAAGTTAGCACTTCATCCTGAAAAATTACTGCTATTCCCAGCGCACATCTTAATTATTATTACTGGAGTTACCAGAAAATGGAATAGAAAGATAGGATTCCATGGCAAAATCCTGTCCAGCTCCTTGGGGTATAAGTAAGTGGTATTTTTTGAAGACTGCTCAGGTCTTCTGCTTCCTTGCAAGCCTCTCATTCCAGGTTTTAATGGATCTTGCTTTTACAAACCTTTACCACCGTGCCATTAGTAACAGGTTCAAAGTGAAGTCCCTAGTGGATGTATGAGTCTGCCTAACAAACAGTTCTCTGAATCCACAGGATGGAAAACTAAAAACGACCATCCTGGCTGTAGGCTAGTGTTCTGGAAAAAGGCAAAATCTAAGATCCATGATTCCAGAGCAGCAGGGGGCACATGAGTTCACAGGACAGCAAACCAATACAAGGAAACAGATCTGGAAGGGATAAAATAGGTAAACTCATCTGTTTAACCTTGTGAGCTGTTAATCCTGGTACTCTGGGTAGCACAAACGGCAAGTGTTTATCCTCAGTGTTTATCCTTGAAGAGTAATTGGCATTACTCTTCAAAAGCTTCCCACACAAACACAACGCAGTGGACACACCAGACTTTCAAGCAGAGAACAGATTACAGAGTATCTGGTCGTTTCCTATGTAGCAAGAATTGCCATGTGATGATGCAGGGGTATTTGTTAGTAAGCAGAAAAGCTTGGTGTAAAGTTATCCCTATCAGAGAGGTTTGTGTCAGAAGGCTTTTAACTGGAGGGCAACTGCGTAACAAGGCACAATGTTAAAGTCCTTTTCTGATTTCTCATCCATTTCAATCCCTAGAAAATGAACAGTCTCTGTGAACAGACACCTTTCCCAAACCAAACAACTTTCAAAATCAACTCACGTTATCTGCTCAGTGAAAAGTTCTACCTGCTCTGCCTGTTGGTTTCAATAGCACAGAAATGAAGAATAGTTATATGAAGATCGACTCAGCCTCTAATTTTTCCCTTGAGCTTCATCTCCTAGAGCTGCTCTACCTAAATCCCTTCTTCCTTAGGGAGCCCCGTTTTGACTCTCACTGTAGTAAGGCAGGGAAGCAGCTGTCTGCTCTCATGGGTCATAAACTCCCCTCTAGACATATTTCCAGTAAAAATCAACATAGGCTGAAAAAAGCCAGTGTGATGTTGCTGTAAAAGCACAAATTTCTTTCCAAGGAGTTTAAACTGATGAGGATAAGTGGAAAAGCCATGGACACAACAGTAGTGCTACACGCACACATCAGGTTTTACACTCACAAAGCAGCAAAGTCATGTTGCATTAATGGACCTCTGAATCACATTCCACCATGGCTTCATTCTGAATTTAACTACTTATTTCACATGTTAGAGGAGATGAATACCTCTGAGTTTGAGAGCTACTTTCAGGAGCAAAGGTTAGCAATAAGCAATCCCTAACTTTGTTAGGTTTCACAAGAACCTTATGTAAAAGAACTTTTGGAAAAAGATGTATCATTTCTCTTGGGAAGAGACAACCAGAAAGAAGACACAGGAGGCTGTATGAACTCCTCACTCATTCTTCCCCATGGAAAAAATGATACCTCACAAAGATCATAGAATCATAGAAATGTTTGGGTTGGAAGGGACCATTAAAGGTCATCTGGCCCAACCTTTCTGCAATAAGCAGGGACATCTTCAACTAGATCAGGTTGCTCAGAGCCCCATCCAAGCTGACCTTGAATGTTTCCTGGGATGGGGCTCCTACCACTGCTTTCTTTCCCTCGGTAATGTAGGAGTCCTCTGGAGAAGGCATGAATGCCACGTAGCCATCAGGCATGAACTAGTTTTCTAACAGTCTTATTGATTACGGAATTAAAATTTCCAGTACCTTCCTTTTTCATTCCTTTAATCCTATATCCTCCATATGTATATACACTCAGATATAAATGTAACGAACCTACATCATGTTTTCCTTTACACAGACAAAAGGACTTACAAAAGGGTAATTGTGTCTGTCTTGGATGTCTCTTATACTCTTGGCCTAGGTTTTAAGCAAAAGGACTTTGCAAGATATATGCTGATTTATATCAAGTACAAGATGCATTAAAATCCTGCTTTTATTTTATGTTAATCAGCTTTTAACGTGAAGCGAAGAAATACAGCACTATCCAATACTTTGTCATGAATATCACGCAAGAACCTATATCCTCTGCACTCAAAGGAAATTTCTGAGGTTACAGCTCAGGGTTACTGAAGTTCTATACAGTTTGATGTCTGCTTGCTTTAACGGGATGCATATATGTAATTTAATGCCTGATGTTATTTTCTCTCTTTCTCTTCCTCTCTTTTTTTTTCTCAGAACAAATTATGACATCGACATCTAAAGGAATTTTCCGGCCATTTTTTATTATCTTCATTGTCCTTGGTTGTTTCATGGCATTTATACTGATCTATATCAAACCAACAAATAGCTGGATCTCTGGTCCTATAGAATCAGCCAGCTCAGTTTTGAAAATGAAGAGCTTCTTTTCTTCCAAAACGGATAATCTTAATGAGACTACTGTTTTGATCTGGGTTTGGCCATTTGGTCAGACATTCGATCTAACATCCTGCCAAACAATGTTCAATATCCACGGGTGCCATCTGACTATTGACCGCTCGCTATACAACAAGTCCCATGCTGTTCTCATTCATCACAGGGACATTAGCTGGGATCTGACTAACTTACCTCAGCAAGCCAGGCCACCATTCCAGAAATGGATTTGGATGAACTTGGAGTCTCCAACTCACACTCCACAAAAGAGTGGCATTGAACACCTCTTTAACCTGACCCTGACTTATCGGCGTGATTCAGACATTCAGGTGCCTTATGGCTTCATGATGGTCGGTACAGGTTCCTTCACATTTGAAGTGCCAAGTAAGGAAAACCTGGTCTGTTGGGTTGTAAGTAACTGGAACCCTGAGCACGCTCGAGTCAAGTATTACAATGAGCTTAGCAAATACATTGAAATCCATACCTATGGACAAGCCTTTGGAGACTACGTCAACGATAAAAACTTGATTCCAACTATCTCCACCTGCAAATTCTACCTTTCCTTTGAAAATTCAATCCACAAAGATTACATTACTGAGAAACTTTACAATGCTCTTCTGGCCGGATCAGTACCAGTTGTACTGGGCCCTTCCAGAGAAAACTATGAGAATTACATTCCAGCAGACTCTTTCATACATGTGGAAGATTTTCTCTCCCCAAGAGAGCTGGCAGAATATCTTCTGATGCTTGACAAAAATAACAAGATGTACCTTAGTTATTTCAACTGGAAGAAGGATTTCTCAGTGCATCTTCCTAGGTTCTGGGAATCACACGCATGTCTTGCTTGTGATCACGTGAAAAGACACCAGGAATACAAGTCCATTGGAAATTTAGAAACATGGTTTTGGAATTAATTTGTGTGTGTGTGTGTGTGTGTGCGTGTGCATGTGTGCACTTTTTTGAAGAAGCCAGAAGAAACTTCAGTCCAAGTGGAGAGAAAAGGAAAAGAGGGGAAAAAAAAAAAAAAAAAAAAAAAAAAAAGGCTTTTTTTTTTTTTTTTTTCCTTCTACCCGAAATTAAGAATTGCTACATTTTGTTTTAAAAAAAAAAAAAAGGGAAAAAAAAAAAAAAAAAAAAAAAAAAAAGGAAAAGAGAACAAAACAGAAGGAAAAGAGAACTTTATGTCATGATTTATCAGCTATCCTCTTTTGGCTATCCTATTTATATTTTGTAAGAGATTTTAAAAGATCACCATCAGCAGTCATCAATACTGAGTTTTAAATTATAATGCACATACTAATTTTGTGCACTGAAAAATATTTGTTTACTATAATTTTTAAACAAGATTTTCCACATTTTCTGTGAAATATGTCCCCATTGTACACTTAAAGTAGTCATTTTTAACAATTCTTTTTTATTTTTAACATTACACTTGCTGTTTAACCTATTTGGAAAATGAGGGCACAGCTTTTAAATGCCAGAGAGAATTTTAAGAACATAATCTGCTGTTTCAGTCCAAAATGTGTGTAATATTTAAAGACAGTAAAGTTTTTTATGGTTCATCTTACATTTTAAGAACACAGTAAAGTTCAATACCTACCATTATTCCAGTGCACCCCTTTTTAAGGGTGATGAACCTAGAAATACAGTTTTTATAAGGTATTACAGTAGTAGACATTCTTTGTTTCCAAAATAATGTTTCCTAAACAATATCTCTATTAAGTTACTTTAGGAATATATCTTTTCTTACCCTCAGAAGAATAAAGAAGTCAGACATAGAGAAGATGAACAGCCTTAGTGACCAAAGCCCAGATCCATCCAAATTTTAGTGTATTTAAATGTAACACGTCCTTAAATGTCATTGTGTCTCAAGTATTGTTTACCTGAACCAGGGTTGTAGGCGGTGTTATACTGATACAGAGATCGACAGATTTTAACACAGGCATCAGCCTCCTGCACTGAATTCAGCTGGTAATAATGGATTTTTTATAAATAGCTTGTTGAGAAACTTTAGCGATTTCTCTCTTATAATTTCTTGAATAGTTGTGAATTTGTCCTCAATTCTGTAAAGATCTGTTGAACTTTAATTGTAGCTGGACAACTTGTTATGGATCATAAATGTGCAAAAAAGTGACCAATCGGTTTATTTTCTAAAAGAAAAATGCTCAAATTCAGTAAATAAGTTATCAGGCTGACATATTCAACCATTCAAGTGATTAAGCTTTTTTTTTTATTAAGTTTTGTTTTTTGAAAATATTTTATGTGGCAGATAGAAATGAATGCACTCTTGCACTCTTAAAAGCAGCAGTTGCTATCAAAATTTGAATATATAAATAGGTTCTTAAGTATTAAATTTGCTCTGATAGCAAATACAAAAATGTGATTATTGTCATGATTGTTTGAAATGTTTGCTTTTAACATGTGTCACTTGATTTTATTACTTTTTTTTTTCTTTCAACTAGGACTTAAATATCTGCTTGCTATATATATTCATATTTACAAGGTTGGTTTGATGACAGAAATGTATGGATATGTTTTGGTACCAAATGAAAGCAGATCAGCTTGTTTTTTCAGGTCAAAAAGTTACAAATCACACCTTCTACTGAAGAAGAAAAAGTTTAACTGGAAAAACCTCAGCTAATGTGATGTATATGACCTTGATCAAGCGAAGTAGTTGATCAAGTACTTAAGATTAAACTTGCAGGCAGCAACGTTGCTGAAGTAAGGCAATAAGGGATAAACAATGATAAACATTTATCAAAAGATAAGGTGGCTTGTCAGATACCTTTTTTTCACCCCAGGCTGGAACAGAAACACAGAAGGCTGCAAGAGTATTGTAGTTACATTTCTAGAACAGGAAACTCCAAGGAAAGGTTATAGAAACACTTGTTCTCTGCCTGTGGCTTCAAAAGCTGTTTTCTGATCCAGATATTTATTTATACTATTTATTGGTGTCTTTAAAAGCTAGTTTGCAATATACTGTGAAATTCCTAAACTCACCAGCATTCCAGTTCAAAACAAGATGAGCCTACTTTGCAAATCACTGCAATATAAAGAAATCCAGTCTTACAAAAACCAAGTCCTGACATGGATGTAATGTGAGTAGTATTTCTATCATTTTGAAGGCAAGTGGGTATTTCCTACAGTCTGCCCCACAGGACATCATACCTTTTGTTTTCAAGAGGCTGTGAAATTCTCCATCACTGAATACGCCACTGCTTTGGCTGGATAATCTGATTCCTTTGATGCTGGAATTTGGAAGTTCTTTGCATTGATCTCAGTGGAAATACATTCACTTCTTGGTAAAGGTGCACAGTCCCTTATTTCATTCCTCATTCCAGACAGTGGGAGACGTGCTGTGTGTTACAAGGCCTTACGTCAAATCAGACTGGTTTCTTGGCATCAAGATTCAGCCCATAATTTCTTATATTAATAAGAAGTAAGCACAATAATAAGGCTTGTTACAAAAATTATCAATCAGTGTATATACCAGAAAGTTTTGAAATATATGCTAAACTTTAAGCTGGTAAGTAATGTCATTACCTCTGTGAGTACTGGATCCAGTCAGCATGGCTAATCTTGGGCTGAATTTTAAGTAATGTGAAAGTCTTCTACTGGAATTGGAAAGAGAGTTTTCTCTTCACAGAAACTCCACACAAGGTATACTTTGCATGCAGGATGTGCTGCTAAAATTGTGTCAAAGATTAATAAAACATTAGAGAAATCTAATCCAGGTGGAAACAACCAAGAATCATGACCAAATCCTAACCAAAAGACATGACCCTAATGCCTCACTGAAATTCTTGAAGTGTGTGGGCTGGAACATAAGTGAGTCAGCCATTTTATCAAGATTTTAAGGTGATTTACACGTATCAAGCCTTAAGCCGTTCCGGATATAGAGAGCTTTGCTGACACAAGATGAAGTATCTTCAGACATGGTGGTAAATGAGATAAAGCAGAGGACTCCTGGACTCCAAGCATGCATAAAAGCAGTCTACCTAGACCAACACATCTCACAGAATGTTGATCCCAGTCAATATATAACTGTGATTAAGCAGTTATGTGATGTCTGTGCTCCAGGAACAGCAAGCACAAATAGACTCAAACAGTAAATCACTGTGAAGGAGAATGGGCAAAATCAACTATTTATGGAAGGGTAAATTACATGGAATTAGTTAAAACAGAGAAAAAGGTATTATTTATGCCTTGGTACCACTGGCAAAAGAAGGTAGTTGTACAGGAAAAGAGAAATGAAAGATGAGAAATCACACCAATTCTTACTATTTTCTCAACAATTTTATTTCAGGCATTCAGTTTCTTTTACTTGCCAGCCCACAATAATCTTGCATATGCACTTGTCACAAGTTTACTTGACAGTCACTGAAGACAGAGAGTAATCATTATTCTTTCTTTTACAATGGCGTCTTTTGGAAGCTTTTAGGCTCTCTGCTGTGCACTGAGCTATCAACATCACTGCCTTTCTCAGCGTGGAAAATAAGACCCAAACCAGATAAAATCCTAAGTGCAGGTGCATGGCTACCCCACTGAATGTGAACACACATCAGACGAAACTGGCAGCAGATCCTTCTGAAGCACAGTTTTCCTTTTATTTCACAGATGCTCAGTGGCCACAGCAGCAGTATGAGATCTCCATTCCTTAGTGAATCCTGGTTGCTGGTTTCTTTGAACACCTCTTGCCATCCGAGATGGCTGTACTCACAACGAACCAGCAGCCCAAGCGAGGCCCACAGACTGTGAGAGATGCAGGCAGCAACCTACTTGTCTTTTAAGAAACAGTTCAAATAAAATGAAAGTTGGACTGCGAGACCATGGATGTGGGGATTTATAGATTTTATGCAGGCTGAGGAAGATATGGGAAATTGGCACTACTGAGCGCATTAAACAGCTACTTACTGTTTCTCAAATTGGGCTTTAAAAAACCCCAAACAACATGTAATTTTCTCCCTCTCTAATCAAGCAAGCTTCAGTTAAATAACCGATAACTGTTGCTGATTATTGAAGCATGGGACTCCTGTTGGCCTTGTATTAGCTCTTTTATTAGCTAAAATATAACATTTGTGGGGAAGACTGAAGTCTGTCAATAAGCTAATCACATTTCTGATCTGAATTCAAGAATCCTTATATTTCTTTTCTTTTTTGATTTTGAAGTAAATCTTCACGTCCTCATGCAACAATGCTTTTTGGACTAGATTCAAGAAAGACATTAAGCACATGGATGTAACTGTGACACTCAAGCACATGCTTAAATTTAAGAGCATCTTAAATTCTTTAATGCATTGGAACTTCAAAGAGTATGGTTTTCATTGCCTTTGGGAACTGTGCCAGAGAGCGCAGTCTATAGTCAAGAGAGGCCAATTTGTAGCCTCTTTTGCATCACGTGTGCCCATCCTGTGAATGGACTGGCTACTCCACACTGAAAACCTCTCAGGCTAATTCTGGCTTAGTGTCTATCCAATATAGCTTAGCCCCACTCTTCTGCTTCAGCATGCTCAGTGTGCCACCAACACCTCATGCCACCACACAGCAATGGCACTCCACCTTACAGCCTCCCTCTGCTGAGCAGGGTGAGCGAACTTGCATGTGATACAAGGCAGTGAGAGGAGCTGAGATTTGCTGAGATATAGGTTTTCAAGGAGAGTCCTAGGAAAAAAATATAAAACCCAGTCCTGGGTGCATCCTTCTAACCTGGACTGAGCACCCCCTAGAGAGGGTCACCTTCAGCCATACCCGATTTTCCTCTTGGAGAAAAATATGTGGTTTGGTCTAGATGAGAGTCTGTGAGTGAACAACTGTGTGTGCAAAGCAGGAACAAGAGCTATGTCTGTGCAGGCTGAGAAGAAAACTTCTGACCTATTTAAACCTAACAGTGAAAGTTAATCAAATACTCAAGTGCTTCCTTGGTGAAAAGTAGTACACTATTCAGAAAAGAGTCCAGAATTAGTATTTGTTTATCTACTAGTTGGTGGGCTTTTTCATTAATATTGG